AGAAGAGGGGAGGGAGGGGAATAAGAAGAGGGGAGGGAGGGGAATAAGAAGAGGGGAGGAGGGGAATAAGATAGGGGGGGAATAAAAAGAGGGGGGAATAAGAAGAGGGGAGGGAGGGGAATAAGAAGAGGGGGCAGCTCTATAGGACAGGGGCCAAGACAGGGAGCTCTTTCACACTACGCGCGCACACACACACAATGCATCCCTATACATACACAGAAACACAACATGCTTCCCTTACACACAGATAAACACACAATGCATCCATTACACACACACACACAATGCAACCCTTACAAACAAAGACAATGCATCCTTTGCACACATACACAGAAACTGTATATGACAATGCAAACCCGTACACATGCATGCAAACACACACACTTCTTTTCTTACATACACACAGAAACACAATGCATCTCATGCACACACATACAGACACACACCTTGCATCCCTTATGCATACAAACACAGATTCACACAATGCATCCCTTACACACAACCAGAAACACATAATACATCCCTTATACACAAATACACACTGCTTCCACTACACACAAACACACTGCATCACCTGCACAAACTGGTAACCCTAAACACTACATACCATAAGCACACATATTAGACCCTCTACAATAACACATAACACATCCCCTACACACTCCACTCCCTGTGAGCGAACTCATGGGTGGGTGGAACTTATGAGTGGGCCTTATGGGCATACTCACCGTCAGGCCCTGGGGCCCAGACCTTGAGCTGTGTAAGGGCCCCAAAAAATGGAGCTGCTTCCAATTCTCCCAGAACATTGAATTTTGTGACCACAGTTGCAAACAGCCTCCAGAGATCCTGTTCTACACCAGACCAGTGGAGCAAAACTGCAGCCCATCATCATCCTCATCTGCTTGTAAGTAGGCAATCTAGTATATTATTAGTGACACTAATCTATAATTTACCTCACATTAAAGGGACACTATAGCTTAATGAAGTGGTTCTGGTGTCTATAGCTGGTCCCTGCAGGCTTTTTAATGTAAACACACACTGTGTGCAGCACTGGCGTTAGTTCATATGGCAGATCATATGGGTGGGGCATTGTGATGTGACATGTGGGGGCAGCAAATTTTTATTTTGTCTAGGGCGGCAAAAATCCTTGCACCGGCTCTGATCCTGGGCAGGTGCACCAGTCTACTTGACTGGTTTTGCCCCCCAGGCCTAAGGCTGCCAGCCCCCCCTGGCCGCTGGGGAGGTCTTTTGGCGGCCGCTGGCGGACTTGTCCTGGCGGCCGCTGAGGGAGCTGCGCGAGCTGCGCTGGCTCTGCTCCCCAGCACGCAGCTGAATGAGACCGGCGCCGGAATATGACGTCATATTCCGGCGCCAGTCTCATTCAGCAGCGCGCGAGGGCGGGAGGGCACTAACACAGGAAGCACCTCTAGTGACCGTCTGAGTGACTGTCACTAGCAGTGTCACTTTGAAGCAATGTAAACACTGCCTTTTGTCTGAAAAGTCAGTGTTTACGTTGAAAAGCCTGTAGGGACATGCTATAGACACCAGTACCACCACATTAAGCTGTGTGTGTGCGTCTGCTAGTGAGTGAGCTTGCTTGCATGCGTGTGCCTGCTAGTGAGTGAGCTTGTGTTTTTATGTCAATGAGCTGATGTATATCAGTAAGATTGTTTGTCTATGAGGCTGTGTATCAATGAGCTTGTGTGTGTCACTGAAATGTCAGTGAAATTGCCTGTGTCTGCATGTGCGTATGCTTACTGTATAATTAAACGTTTTACCCTGAAAGGACCTATATTTTATATTAGAAAAAGCAATATATATATATATATATATATATATATATATATATATTACTCAATCATCTGTCCTAGCAAGACATAGCCTTACATATTACACGCGACAATATATGGCGCAGTGACTTATGGGGCTGGCACAAATTTTTTTTCCAGGGCTGCTTTGTATCCCCAGTCCGGCCCTGTAGTCGCTAGTCTCTGATTGTTAGGAGTGGCCTAGATGCCGTAACGATTCGTGTGGAAGGGGCCCTCAGGTTCTCCTATGGGTTCCTCTCATCGGCCCTTGAGGGTGGGATTGTGGGCCTAAGTGTACATCGAGGAGGAGGTCAGGTTGTGGCCCTGGTGAGCGTCTGTGCTGTTGTAGGGGCTGCTAAGCGACCCCCACTAAAAGGAGTGTGGGGGGTTGTGTGGTGCTTGATTGTGAGGGAGGCCTACTGCGGATGTTAAGGTGTGGTTTGGCCCCTATGGTGTCAGCCGCTCCATTTGTGTCGCCTGGTAGCTCAAGGGCACCACGGAGGGGGAAGTCGGGTGGGTGCAGTACTAGTGATCGTATTACAAAAACAACAACAAAAACATTAAACTAAACTAAAAGAAACTGAAAGAAAGTACTTAGAGCGTTTAGAGCAGTCCACTTTTATGGGGTGGTACGCTGTGCGAGTTTGCCAGGTTTTTGGACTTGACCGTTGCTGCCTTTACTCTCTGGGGGGCAGCCTTTCGTTAGCCTGAGGTGCCTCACCCCGCATCCATTCCTTTTTGTGGGACAAAGGGGACAATGTTGCGGATGTCCCAGGAGGTATGTGCCGTCGATGTGGAGGCCGGTTCCCCAGCCAGGCCCAGATGCGCTAGAAACATTTGGGAGGCCTCAGATGCCATGAGTCGGAATGTTGTGCCGTCTTTGCTGGCTGTTAGAGTGTAGGGCGGCCCCCATCTGTAAGGGATTCCTGCTTCCCTCAGTGTCCTCGTGACCCCCTGGACTGATCTTCTCCAGTCAAGCGTGGCTTTGCACAAGTCCTGAAGGAAGGTAAGTTCCATACCTTCAAATTCAAATGGGGATTTGGACCTTAAGGCTTCTCTGAGCATTTTTTTTCCCTGAAGGATGTAAAGTGGATCAGGACATTTCTGGGAGCTGTGGTCGGTGCCCTCAAGGATTTAGGGAGTCGGTAGATGCCTTCTGTCAGCGCTTGTTTAGTGTGTTTATGTGGTAGTAAGGCCGCAAATAGGCACCTGAAGTAATGCCCACCCCCCGTACTTTGAGGTTCTTGCGGCGGCGTGCGGCCCCCATTACATTCAATCTCCTCTGCACGTCTTCGAGCAAGGAATGGATTTGGCAGACTTGCTCTGAGGTACCAGCTTGGGTTTGAGTGAGTGAGGTGATGTCTTCCTCTGTTGCTCGGATCTGCTCCGTGACCGCCGTCACCTCCTCCTGCACTAGCGGCAGATCTGCCCTAAAGAAGGCCCGCAAGTGGACCATAAGGTCCATGATGTCCCCTTTGGTAGCAGGAGCTCCACGATCCCCTGTTATTGTGTGGGGGTGCGGATTAGGTTGCTTCGGGGAATCCTGGCTTTCAGGCGGTGCCGCCATTTTAGGTTTAGGCCGCTTGTGGAAGAGTTCCCCGATGCTTCGGTGCCCTTCTCCCGCTTGTGTTTTTAGTTTCTTGGATCGTTTCCCCATAATTCCCCTGTATCAGGTCAGTTTTGGGTGAAATATGCCGGATTTTATAGCTTTATAGATGATTATTTGCCGGAGCTCTTCAAGCTTGCGACTGTTCTCCCGAGACTTTTCTTTTTAACTCCTAAACATGTATTTTAACTGTCTCTAGTTTAAATACAATTATTATTCCTTCACTATCAAGTAATTATTGGTAGTACAAAAAAAAAAATTCAAATAATGTTTATCTGATACATGTTATGAATACTGAGAAAATAAACATATGATAACATTTTAAAAAAATAGTATTGAGTATTGTGTGTTTTTAGATGGCTAAATAATTTCTAAAATAATTGTGTATTTATCATTTATTTCTTCATCCTCTATATGGATAATTTGGGAATTAAATACAGTACACCGTATCACTGCTCTTGCAATATTTCACACAGGATCAGAAACAATATAATAAGATCAAAAATATAACTCTTTGCACATACAGAAGGCATGCCAAAAAATTATGAAAATTATCAAATGCTCTGTTTGTTGGTATTTGTAAACTTTTGACGGTCTTAATGTTACGGTTCTCACTGTGACATCCAGACAACCTGGGTACTTGATGGTCATGGGCCTGCTTTCCTGCCTTTAAGACAGCAGCTCCTATTCCTCTGAGTATTTCCAGCCCTGTTCTACCTGGCTATGTCTCCAGCACTAGGGAGCTGGACTTTCATGTGGCTGTCCTGTCTACCTCAGTCCACCTGAAGCAGATGCCAAATCAGTCAGGTATAAAACACTGGCTCTATCTGAGGGCAGTGTAAGTTCATTGACTCTGGTTCCTGTATTTGTGTTCTGGATTCAGTGTTCTCCAGATGGCTCCTGACCTTGGCTTATTTTCATTTATCTTGACCTCTGGCATCTTCTGACCTTGGCTTACCCTCGTTTATCCTGACCTCTGGCATCCTCTGACTTTGGCTTCTCCTCGACAATCCTCCTGCTTACGTCCTTGCCTGTACTGCGACTTGGAGCTAGATCCTACACAGACTCACAGGCCAGGTGGCTTCTTATCTGGTCACCATGGTCTGTGTTTATTTGCAAGGGTGAGCATATATCTCTGCATACCAGACTCCACACCAGGTAAGATTCCTGACAATTAGTAGCAGTACAACTTGCTGAAAAACTTCAGCCTTTCTAGATCATTACCATTTAAATCCTATATTTCTAAAATAAAAGTATTTTCACAAGTTTTAATGAATCTTTGTGCTAAGACCTGCAAGAGACATATAAGATAATTCATTCACTGCTCCTCTCCACATTAGGAGTGACATGATCTTTGAAGCTTCCTTTACTGTTTGGAAAGATAGAGAGAGAGGAGCTATAATTTTGAAGAAATCATAGACATTACATGAGTTAAATGGGTTCCTTTCAGAAAATACATGTTCCTTTACACTCTGATAATAAATCCTCGAGTATAAATGTAGGTAAATGAAGAATAGAATACATTTTGAAAGCAAAAAAAAACCTGTGTGTCTGTGCGCAATATTGGTTGGGAAAGGGTTAATGCACAATAAGCAACTATTTTAAAAAAAAATTTAAGGGCTGCTTACAATTTTCTAAAAAAAAGTAACCAACAGACCTCATCATTGTGCTGTTACTAAGGTCAGAACATGAGGCGCATAGGACTTGAAATTCTGAACTTGAACAGTTGACCTCACTCAAATTCAAAAGTGAAATAGCCAGCTTGCTACACTGCCCTGCAAGTCAGCTATTTTTCAAGCAATGTGTTCCTGAAATGGCCATTTCAGCAAACACCATTCTAGTCAACTGAAAACTTGAGACATCTCCATCTTTAGTGAACAGAGCCCCCCCTACACACACTCACACACGCAAACAAAATATCTGAAATGTTTCAATAAACTAACTTACCAGGGATGTTACAATATGTTTATCCACTGTAAGTCTGTACCACAATAGGAATTTGTGTACATCTGACTAAGCAATAGAAACGTGTATGGCTATTTTCTGTCTATGAGGCAGAAAATTGTTCAGTGGGAAATAATTTTACTGCGTTTCAAAGACTCTCTGGCACTAAAACGAAATAATTTGAAATACTGGCTTACCCAGTGACAGTATCTAAAAAAAAAAAAAAAAGGTTGCTTGTGTATCAACAGAATTCTGCTTATGCAGGCATGTCAATTTCTTGTGTGATAGCAGAGAATTGAGAATATTCTAAGCATTTAATTAATGAATGATTGGATCATGCAATCAATTAAATAAAACCTTGTGTTTGTAATTGAATTAGAAAATCAATGCAACCTTTGCTTGGAGCTATTGGTAGACAGTGATTTGCTGCAAAGTAATCAATAGCTAGGAGTACAAGACACATCTTCCTTTATAGACTGGCCTCCAAGGCATTTGCTTTGATAAATGCTATATTCTTTGGCAGGGTTGGAGTTTATGTCTGGAATCAAAAGTACAAAACCCAAAGGGACTTTCTGTTGCCCTTATATAAAAACAGATGGAGTTTTATTTCTTTATAAATATATTTTTTTACTTTTAGGAAAAATCCAGATTATGTTTTCAGGTTGTTTAAAATTAAAACTCAGCCTGGCTGTCATTAGAAAAACACAATATATTCTTTATTCTTTTAGCATGATTATTCTAGTTTCAATTTTAATTCTGTCTCCAGCTCGCTGTTCCAAATAGTGTAGTACCTTTGGAAATAGTACAACTCTCGCTATTTTAATTCTATGCACTCTTTAAATGCTTTTTTATTTTCTTGTTAATGTGCATCTGCCTTGGTTCACACAGCATGTGCTCTTTTTAAAGAGCATACAATTTCAAATATACATTTTTACTAGAATTGCAATCAGATGTTTAGATTGGGATAAAAATCTATTTAAAAATAGGTAATTCTCCCATCTGTCAATACATTCTTCAACAGACTCCTGCGCCTGAAGTACTAAGTGACAGGAGAGAGCAGGAGAGTCCTCCCACAGGTGATTCTCCCGCTCTCGAAGTAAAGCAATGACTGCACATCCATTGGGCAAGTAAAAGACGAGCATAGGCACAAGAAGAGCAAACTATAGATGAGTGTTACAAAAGCAAAACACCTGTGAAGTATGGAGGTGCTGCATCCGAGGCAATATGAGTTAATATCTCACAATTTGACATTGACTACATCATGTATCTCTGTGACAAATGACGTATTAAACACATTTAGGGGAGATTTATGTTATCATTGGTTCACTTTAACTGTGCCGAAAAAGTGTAGTGAAAGCTCAGATTTAAATTATGAAGGAAATAAATTCAATGTTTTTTTTTTTCAAGTCTTCTGACACATTTTATTACAATTTTCTGTAGTTTTTTTGTGACATTATGATTGATAACAAAGTAAATTCAATGGCAAGAAATGTTATTTGTGTGGTTTCCCAATAATTCAGCACTTAGTTAATAAATCTTACATTATACTAGGCGTGTTCTCTAGTTGTAAATGTAGTTACTGGAGACCGGAGCAGAGGCTCTGCAAACGAATGTGGAAATGTCTGGCACAATCATGGAGTATTTTGTATTTTTTGTCACATGAAAATTCTGAGGTTAAAAAGTAAAATACTAATAAAGACATGGAATTAAAAGGTTATAAATCATTGTTTTCAAATCCATTACTGGGTAAGTTTCAGTTCCTAAGTACCTTTTTCCTTTATAAATCTACTATTTTTATTTCAAAATTATTGAGGTGCTATTAATAAAGTCTCACTCCATTCTTTTTGGATTCATTGGATGTGAACATGCCAGGAACCTTCCTGGCAGGGACATGCAACCTATAGCTGACTGAGCATCATAGTAATTATAGAAAACTGTGTTAGCAATGCCAACACATCACACTTCCCAACAACGCCTGTTAAGAAATAATGTATGAGCATGCCAGATCTGTGGTATACTCACAGCAGAAGAAAGAAACTGTTACCGTAATTTCCAAGTAGCATAATATGGGGGTATTAGTTATCTTATATCCCATAGTAACTTATTATAACAAACTAAAAACAGAGAACTGGTCTGGCACTTCAATTATAAGTGGAATAAAAAATCTGTTAAAGGAACACTGCAATGGAAAAATATTTATTTGATATTTTTTCCAATTTAGTAGATATATCCCCAATGAAAACGTTCATGCATTTAATTCTGCATTTTTTTTCATTGGAGTTATATCTAACAACAGCTTGCAAAAGCTTCAGATCTCTTGTCTGAAGCCCTTGCAAGTCCTTCCCTTCTATCTCCGCCCAAAATTTTTGTGGCTGTCCAATCACAGACATTTCAATGCAGCTCAAGGTCTATGACATTTTCTTGATACCAAAACACATTGTAAAGGAAGTCAAGATTCTTGCAAAGAACAAAAAAAAATTAAGCCAAGAGCTAGTGGGTTACCATATTTGGTGGCACTAAAATTCTCTGTAGACTTACAACTTTAGACGGGGGAGGATACGCAAGTCTCATGAAAAATGTGTCACCATATTGGATAGCAACATGCATCAAGTCTCTTGGGACTCCCAACAACATTGTACATGGCATTGGGGGTTCCAGATATCAGGGGATTGCAGGATAGTTTTTGATTACAGATACCACAATTGTTAAATAAGGGGCTGGATCTAAGGTTTGAATAAGTATCAGTATCAGTGAACTAAGTCAGATAAGGACTGCAAGGTCAAAGGATGGACACAGTAATGGCACTGATGATACACAATTATGGTAACTTTGGTTAGTATTATCACTGTTGGCAAGAGTGGTTACAGTATGCGAGAACTTGGGCAAGTTGACAGAAGTTTACAATGTCAGATTTGTTTGTGAGCTGAGCAACTAAACTTTACCTTCCAGGTAAGTTGCAATCAGGAGTGAGCTATGAAGAGTACCTGATGTTCAGTTTACCCTACTAACTTAAATGATAGAAACCACAGGTGGTGGTTCAGCCTAAAAGGATGAAAACCAAACCACCTGTGGAATCAAAAACACCTTCACTGACACTCCAGAGGTGT